ACACTGCTAAATTAGGGATGGCTAGAGCAGATAGCCCTCGTGTAGCTTTGCGCGAAGTCCGAAACAAACAAACAGACGAAAGACAAATTTTAAAACGTGATAACTTGAGAAGATTCCAAGGAGAACAATTCAGCTGTAAGAATGTTCGCTGAAAATGTCGTACCAAAGGATATCGAATTATTTTTTATAATGAATACTTTTATATATATGAGTTGTTTTTTCTTCGTAATAATATTACCAACTTATTTACTAGACATCAAAAATACAATTGTTCATAAGGTCTGCTTGCTCTACAAACAACTTAGCTAGTTTTAGAGCAACCAAAATAAATCATTATAATCGGACCAATACTAATAACGATTCTTGAGTGATTCCGTTCGTTTACCAGTACAGTGCTTTTGTTTCATACCCCCTAGTGACTCAACGGTAAATCTGAAGACTTATAACGCTGAAAACCGTGTTTTGATACCCGTGATGAGCACAGCATAGATTGCCCATTATAACTTTGTGCTTCAAAAAAAAAAAACTGTGTTAAATATAAAAAAAAATGAACACAGTTTGTAGAAACTAATGATGTAATAACATTATATCAAGCTCAAGCTTTTCAAGTTGTTAAATTGAGAGATGGTGTTATTGTTAAGTGTACTATTTATCCATCATTCATAAAACGGTCAATTTTAGAAAGTGGTTGTACTTTAAAATTTCTTACCGCTTGTCTTGAGGCGATACAATTTTAAAAAATAAAGTAACTTTGTTCTACGAACTTGATGTTTCACAAATTTAATTATCAAGTACCTTTTGTAAATCCTAAATTGTAAATTTTAACGTTGCCTTCGATTTTTTGAGATGTACTTTAAGTGATAAAGGTAAAATAAGCATGAAGATTGAAAATTACGAGAAAAAAAGTATAAGATAATGTTAACGAATTTTACTGATTAGAGGTGATTTAAATTAATTGCATGCTTTTTTATCCAAGTGTTCGTTTACACTGTGATTGTAACGTTTCTTAACTCGTTCATTTCCACCTTTATTGAAATACAACACCCTCTGTGCCAAGTTTGTACTTGTGAACAGACCCACCAGTGATCAGCGATAAGTCTGAAGGCTTACCACGCTAAAACCGGGTTTCGATACACGTGGTGGGCACAGTACAGATAGTCGATTTTATAGTTTTGTGCTTAACACCAAAGAAACAACAAAATTTTTAGACAGAAATACGTACCTGTGATATAGTTACATCTCGTTTACTTTTCATATCAATATGATTTTTTTTAATATAGAATTGTCTGAAATATTTCACAAGTTATTTTTATCAGATTAAAAACTAATAAGTAAAAATTATCTGTGCACTATTTTCAAAGGTTGCGAATTGATATGCAACATTTGTGGTTTTTAATTAATATTACAATTATTAATTTTATTGCACAACTGTTTCTTAGAACATTTCGTCTTATGTCACACTTTTCAATGACTATAATTGTCCCACGTGTGTGGAAGTACACGTGACAGTTAAAAGAGTCGAGTTTTCCAAACGACTCCATGAAATAAGAATACCATTTACCGTTGACTAGAATGTCCTGCAAAAAAAAATAATACTGGGTTGGTTCTTACCCGATCATCTATTCGTTTTAAATCAGGGCTAGTTTCCATGTTGGAAGATTAAAGAGAATTCGTAATGTTTAATAGCATAAAAGGGTAAAGCCTATATCGATGCAAGATACTTTGTTCTTGATCATTTAGTCATATATACCGAATATTAACTTTGAGAAAAGACAGGAATATCTTAAGCTTATAAAAAAAACTGGAGAATCTTCAGAACTTATGTAAAAATTCTAAAGTACTGAGCAAAGAATGAAGCTGACAAAATCCTACAAATACAAAACCTTATCAAATACTCGGTTAAAAAGTTTCAAACCCCATAGCAAAGACTATTTCATTAGTATAGTAGTATTAAAATCTCGATATAACCAAGAATCGGCAAACTATAAAACATTACTAGAATGTCGCCGCCCCCCAGTGGCACAGCGATATGTATGCGGACTTACAACGCCAGAAACTGGGTTTCGATACCCGTGGTGGGCAGAGCACAGATAGCCCATTGTTTTGTGCTTAATTTCAAACAAACAAACAAGAATGTCGTCACACCTTTTTTTACCAAAAGTATTGCTTGAAAATACTATGTTTACTATTAAATTCTGGGTTTTTATTTGAGGTATCTCATAAATTTTGTAAATGTAGTATATGAAATAGCTAAAAATGAGACAGAAAGTACTTGCACAGACGTAGTCATCATTATCAGGTGAAACGTCAACCCCTACGTATGTTCTTTCTTTTATATCTTATTTTAGCTGTTTTTGTAATAGTTTATTTTCTTTTTTTTTACTGTGGGTGGTGAGTATCAAATTGACGGTATTTTATAATCTCCCGATTGGTATCAATATAGCGAGTACCCATGACGTTAAAAGCCCTCCTCCCATAGTGGGCTTAGCTGTAAGTATACAGGCTTACGATGCTAAACATCGGGATCGATACCCGTGGTGAACAGAGTTCATATAGCCCATTGTGTATTTTCGCGCGAAAACAAGACAGTGTATGGAAAATGCTTGTATACAGGTTCGTGAAGAAGTGACGTAAGCAGTGGTTACCTAGTAATTTGACTGTTTTTAGAATATGTATACGATGGAGCTAATTAATTTGTTAATTCCATTGGTAATGTATAAACCGAGTTCATCCTTGCATCGTTGCTTCCCTTCTCACCAGTTTGTATTTCAATAACTTGACTATAAAATGGAGAGCATTGTGAGCGCGCTGTCCCCCCCCCCCCACCCCCGTGTTTACTTTTACGTCCGCCTTCCCTATGACAACTAGTAATTTTCTACT